CAAAAAAAAAAAAAAAAAAAAGGACAAGAAGAAGAAGAAGATACTCTAGCAGAACGCAAAAAAATCGCATACACACTACTCTTATCGAACAAGTGTTTTGCCGAACTCACCCTCACCTCATATGACACTACTAGGGCACAGCACCCAATGCACTATAACCATGTCCAGGTAGCAAGATCGGACAATAGATATCAAAGCAAAACTAAATCCACAAGACGATATCGGCTGTTCGATTTTTCTACACGGGCATGGGCATAGTCCACTGGGTATCAAACTGGGACCAACTGGGTCCAACTGGGACCAACTGGGTCCAACTGGGACCAGCTGGGACCAACTGGGACCAACTGGGACCAACTGGACCAACTGGGACCAACTGGGACCAACTGGGTTGTTCCCCAGCTGATGAGAACCAGGAATGTGGAAACCCTACAAATTAGGGCTGCCTCCTTTGCTTGAATTATTAATTGATTGATTGAGTGAATTGATTTGATTTGATTTGATTTGATTGATTGATTGATTATTTGACTGGTGGATAAATCAATCACTGAATTCGTTGACATGCTGGATCCCTCCTCCAGCATCCTTTCAAGTCATTGCTGGTCAAAACGAATCTACATGGGGGAAAACATGTGTCAAAGGGCGTAATCAACAACGGTTCGCATCGTTCGTCGGTCGAAGATCTCACCCCAAAGATTCTTTCTTCCGCTATTTGGACCCCTTCCAACGAGGAGCATGACGCTGTCTCTCTTCTCTGTAGCGCACACATACACCTACTCCGAACTGATGCGGGCATCAGCTCTGCGCCTCCGCTTCGCTTTCAAAGCGACTCGTCTCCCGTACTATCGCTCGTCTCCCCTCCCCCCTTCTCCTCTCTTTCCTCTGCTTCTTTCTTTGCAAGTTGCGTCACGATATAAGGCGCTGGAGAGAGCGGCGGGCAGTACCCGTCCGGTTCTATCACTCCCGTGCCCTCCGCGTACCCCTGCTGCATCATCGCCGCAAACTCTTCGAAATCAATCCTTCCGTCCTGAAAGCCCATCAGCCATCCAACCAACCACAAGGATCGACAGTCCGTGTCAATTACACATTAAACATTCTCATAATTAAAAAACAAAAAAAGAATCCACGTGAATCTCACATAAATATTCCTCCTCCCACCAGCATCACTCTCCCCTTCTCCCCTTCTCCCATTCTCCCGTCGATATCCGGAGCAACTGCACATCGCATATCAGCAACCGCACTTTGACTGGAGGTCATATATTACTATTGAGTGGGACCCCACAGGAAAAAGGATGGAAAAACCGTCTGGCCACAAAAATAGGGCAAAGAATTTTGCAAAGCAGGAAAGCAGTTTTGCGGGGACCCCACCGCGGAGGACCAAATGCGCCGTGGAAACCATTTGGAAATCAGTCGAGCCAATCGTTGCCTTTCCTTTCTCGGCCGGCACTCGTTTGTTTTTTTTGCTTTCTTTTTTTTGTGGCACTCTTGGTCGCTTTTGGCTGCAGCCTCCCGTGAGACTTTTCCGCGACTTTTCCAGGAACGGGACGCCCTCCCCGCCTACCCTCTAGAGTTGGCACAAAATTGCGGCGTGGAATCCTCCCGTGAGACCTTTCCAGGCTGCGGACCGCGGACCATGTGAAAACGTCCACAGGCGACCTTCCAGGCCACGAAATGCGGGCTGTGGGGTCCCGGAATATACGGTTTTTGGAAGACATTTCGGCCTTTCCATAAACTTTTCCGCGAGGTGTGGGATCCTGCAAACACTTCCGCGGCAAAGTTTTTCCTTTCCGCATTCCAATGGGGTCCGGGCCTGCGTGAAAACAGAAAACTACGTTTTTCCAAGCCGCAATCTTCAGTCTGTGGCGTCCCGGAAAACGGTTTGTGGGAGAAATTTGAACTAGAGAGAGAGAGAGAGAGAGAGAGAGAGAGAGAGAGAGAGAGAGAAAGAGAGATCTCCCGGCAAAGCTCGATGAACTTTGAAAAACAAGAGTCAAGACAAACAGAAGGTTGATGATGTGCTAAATCGAGCTCGCACACTTCTCATCTTCCTAGTTCTTAACACGCGTTTGTTCCAAAAAACAAAAAACAAAAAACGAGAAAATAAAGAAAATATTTAGAAAAATAAATCCAGCAACCCATGTCAAAAACACCTTAAGCAAGGGCCATTGAGAGAGGTACTCCCATGTTGAAGAAACAGAGACGCTAAGCAAGACCCCCCTTAAACCACTAGTACACACTCCCAGCCTTGCAGAAAATGGACCTGGGCCAACTACTCAAGCACACTACATGTATCTGGACTTCATTTGTGCGGATCAAACGTCTTGAATGTATTGAGGCCATTACCAGCACCAGATACAGGTAGAAATGTTGGGCAGAGGAGTGAGGCCCAACCTCTCTATTATTCGAGGCACACAGGCAGTAGGGAACAGACGGAGCAGCTACGATGAAAAAATAGGTGAAAGATAAAGACAAAAATAGGAGGGCAAAGAAAAAGCAGACGAAGCAGTGGGAAGGAAAAAACAAAAAGGCAGCAGCAGTGGAGTACCCCACAGCAGACGCAGTGGGGGGAAAAAAAAGAAGAAGAAGAAAAAAAAAAGGAAGCAGCAGCGGAGAGCCCAAAGGCACCGCAACAAGCACGACAGATGCACACAATTGAGTGCGAGGAGTTGAGCACACCAAGCACACCTGTCTGAATTGAATGCGGAAATCCAGTGGGCTGTGCAGAAAAACGGAGGAAAGGGGAGCGGAAATCCAAAAAAATATCGGCGTGGGAAGACGGACCTTGGCCGTTGACATTGATGCTACATGATGGGAGGTTGGGAACGATAAAGAGTGAGGTGCAGCTACTGGCAAAATGCTCGTTTGTTATAGAGGCCAACAATAACCGAAACGAGTCCCTAGGCTACCAGAGTGGGCCGGGGTCACTTGCCCAGCCGGGCCAAAATAAAAATAAAAATAAATATATATCATCACAAACAGAACTGCCCGGTAAACCGTAGGCAGAGAGAGAGAAGAGGACAACAAACGATATATATCGTCACAAATAGAACTGCCCGGTAAACCGTAGGCAGAGAGGGAGAAGAGGACAACAAACGAGGGGCTGTGACATATATATATATTGCAAATTTGGTGAAGAATTTCGATGTGACCCTGAGGCAAAAGTTGTTTAGTTTATTTTTCTGCATAACATAGTTTTCCCGAACGTAAAACTCATTATTGCAAGGAAAAAACTTCAAAAAAGTGAAGCACAGAATGCGCACGTCAAACCGTGGAGCGACCGGAGCGGTTTCGGCTGGTCGCCACACCAGCCGTCCGTCCTCAGGGATCTTGCCGACCCCCACTGGTGGCCCCAAACCTGCACCCTTAACCACGACAGCAAGGGTGGCAACATGCAATATCCATCCCCTTCGCCGTGAGAGGTAGCTACTAGCTATCCTTGCAGGGGTCCCCTTTATATAGCCCTAGGGGTCGGTAGGTAGTGAGTGAAAGGCGAAAGAATTTGAGAGAAGAATATAGCGTAGTTAAAAACAAAGGAAAAACAAACCCCACCTTGTCCGTGTCGTACTCGTGAATGATATCTCTGACGCAGTCCATCATCTCGTCGTCGTTTAAAACCTCTTTCAGTGTTTCTGCCGTAATGAACCCCGTCTTATCCCTGCAAACAAATAGTCATCGATGGTTGAGAAGCGGTTAAGCAGTTAACAGAGCCCAAAAAAAATTTTTCTTTACATAGAGTGCCTTCCGGTTTTATGGGTCAGATAGGCTTTGGCGGCCGACTGTTCGTAACAAGTATTGGGGAGGCCCGCCTCTCACATACGGAAGGGATGTGAGACACCACTCATCATTTGATAAAACCAAGAAGGATTCTTCACGGTCTTCATAAACGCAACGCCCACACACATTTCAAACCAAACCTTGCAGCCAGGCCTTAGTGGTAAAACCCCACCCAGCGCCTTTATCTTTTTTTCTTTTTCGAAAACGTTCTCTTTTGCTGCAGTTTTTATTTGTTGCCCTAAGATGAGTAAGAATAGAAAGGATAGAGAAAGTATATATAATATAATATATATATATATCGTCACAAACAGATATATATCGTCACAACTAGCAAGTACAGTGTACCTGGCAAAATCCTTGGCCTATGGGTTAGCCAGACCCCTCTCCCACCAGTGGGCCCAGCAGTAGTACTCCCTGACCGCCGCCGACTGGGGCC